ACCTTCTCGTCTGCTGGTTCCTTCATCCCTGCCCAGTGGCGGCCGCAGCCTTGGCTCCTGCATGAGACCTGAGTGTGGGAAGGACCAGGGCCAGACATCTGGAGTGGCACCTAGGAGTGGTCCGGTGCCAGAAGTCACGTGACATTAAATAGCAGAAACCAACTGCAAAAGCACCGACACACTGCTTTCCTGACTTTCTGGACAGAGGGTCTGTTTCCCTATCACACAGGATGCTGTGAAGCCTGCAGCTGGTGCTGGTCAGGAGCGTCCACGAGGCCCTGGGACCCGGTGTTTTCCCGCTGTTTGTTGGGTTTTCCATTTTTGGTGGTGTGGGTGCAAAAGAAGGAAAAGTTCCAGAATCAGTTAATTCGCCGGAAATTTGTACCTTGGATCATAACCGGCTTGCCTTTCCTCTCTTCCCTTTGCAAAGCAGCGGGTCCCGCTGAGGTTGGCCAGCGGCTCCACGCTCGTCCTTCTGACTCACTTCCGGCCCCACCCATCTGGTCCAGGAAGCATCCTCCCCCTCCTCCTCTTCCTCCTCCTCCTCCATCCTCTTTTGTCACCATGAATGCCGCCCCTGTCACTCTGAGGAGCTGTCATGCTGGTCGTGTGCCAGACCTTGTATCAGGCACACCGTTATTGAACCTCTTCCTTGCAGCCAGCCAATGGGATATGTGGAGTCACCCCCACTCTGCAGACGGGGGACACAGTGGCTTGGGATTTACGTGGGATCTGTGGCCAGGAGGTGATGAGGCTAGAAGCCACCCCTGGGCCAGCTGTTTGTAGGCAGCATCCGTGTAACAACCTCCCAGTGTTAATGACTTGTCTTATCATCTTCCAAAAGAAGTCCAAACCTTTTAGTCTAGCAGTTAGGGCCTCCATAACACAGCTGTATCTTTGTTCTCAGCTTATCTTTTCTTATTCCCACCTTAGTCAGATCTCTTTCAATTGCAAGGGACAGAAGCCCAGCGTAGCAGAAACCCAAGGGCAATTGATTGATTCCTGTAACTGGAGTCCAAGGTGGCACAGCAGGTTTGCTGCAGGCTCAGCGGGCTCTGAGAGTCAGACTAGACTCTGTCCTCGGGATCTCCTTTCTTCCCTCCTGGCTTTCATCCTTCCCAGGTGACTTAACTCTTAAGTAACCTTCTTCTCTGTGATAGCAGAGATGCCCATGACAGAGCTCAATTTACACTGTCTTCATAACTAGTAATCACAGAAAAAATAATCCCTTCTCTTCTTGTATCCTTATTAATCTGCCCCGAAGGACTCTGCTCCAGAGAAGTTCCACACGTCCTGGTTCGACAGACTGAGCCCCACATCTGTTCCCTTGGGGGTAAGGCGGGACCTCGAGACTGAGTGGTGAACAAGCAATTCCTGAAATCAAAGGCAGTCCAACAAGCTAACTAAATACGTCCATTAGACTTCCTGCTTGAACTGGCAGTTCTGACTGAGCAAGGCACACTTTTTCCTGACCCTAGACCTGCAGTTCCCAATCTTTTTGGCACCAGGGAACAGTTTCGTGGAAGACAATTTTTACACCAACAGGGAGCAGATGTGGTTTTAGGATGATTCCTATAAGGAGTGAGCAACCTAATCCTTCGCATGCGCAGTTCACCATAGAGTTTCCAGTTCTATGAGAATCGAATGCCACCACCGCTCATCTTGCAGGAGGCGGAGCTCAGGAGGTAATGGGGAGTGGCTGTGAAAACAGATGAAGCCTCACTCACTCACCCACTGCTCACCTCCCGCTGTGCAGCCTGCTTCCTAACAGACCACAGACCAGTACCAGCCCATGGCCGGGGGATTGCGGATCCCTGCTCTACACTGCAGTTCACGCTGCCCATCTCCCCTCCACACCTTAAGGCTCCAGAACACTCTCCCTTTCTAATGTTTATCCTTAATTTAAGATCTGATTAAGCCTCCTCTTCTATGAAGCCATATTTAGCTTCCATCCCAAAGGGATCTTAACTTGCTTACTACCTGGATTTATTTGCTTATAGGTGTTCCCCATGCTTCAAAGTTCTAGACATGAACCAGTCAAAAGGTCAGGAAGCTTCAGCCTCCCTCTCTGATGAGGTTTAAGTTCTAGGGCCAGTTCAATCTACCATGTTGTGTCAGTAACAAGCTTGCCTGCTGCCCCAAGCACTGAGTATGATGTCTTGTCCTTCCATTTGTCTTACATCCCCTTGGTGGCAAATCCCAGTTTAGGAATTTGGGATAGAGTTTTTAGCCCCACAAAATATTCTCTTATGCCTCTTTCCTTTCTGTGAGAATTTGCTGTCTGGCATGAAGACATTTAGACTAGGGGCCAGCTCCTGATGAGCCAGTCCTCTCCCTCCCACGACCTTCCTCAATGCCCTGTCTCTGTCACCCATCTGTCACTTAGCATGGACCACCTTGCCCTATTGGGTATCTCTGCCTATTAATATTGACCAATGGCTGTGATGGACTATGTGTTTGTGTTAGCTGCTCAGTCGTGTCTGGCTCTTTGCAACCCTATAGACTGTAGCTTTTTAGGTGCTCTGTCCCTGGAATTCTCCACGCAAGAAAACTGGAGTGAGTTGCCATTTCCTCCTCCAGAGGATCTTCTTGACCCAGGGATCAAATCTAGGTCTTCTGCATTGCAAACAGATTCTTTGCTGTCTGAGCCACCAGGAATATCACCAAAATAATAACTAGTGATACTCCCCAGTGGTCCAATGACTAAAACTCCACTCTCCCAATGCAGGGGACTCAGGTTCTATCCCTAGTCAGGGAGCTAGATCCCACATGCCACAACCAAATATCCTACATGTCACAACTAAGGCCTGGTACAGTCAAATAGATAAATAAATGTTAATAATAATAATAACTAGAATCTGTAGTAGGAAGTCCCAGATAAACTGAAGATAATTATAGAAGTTTTTGGGTATTTGTGAAGCACTTAATAATTGTTCCACCCTGTACTGGCACTGACTGGGTGGCATTTGGAAATCTGGAAGACAAGGCCTCTTTCCATGAGGCTATGTCATCTTGGTGCAGAGATGAAAGAGAACAAGTTCATGCCACACTCCACACTGTTGATCCTGAGAATGGCTGGGCAACAGGTTTACGGGACTCAAGCAACCAGTTCTGGTCACTCCAACTGTATTTTGAAGCCTAGCTATCCTCAGGAATCTACAATAGGAATGAGAACCAGGAATTCCTCACATAGGCTGCATGCATGGATGGAAATAAGGATCCAGTGCATAGGAAAAATTTTTCAAGAACTGAAGGACCTAGGTGTGATGAAAGCCTATGGAAGATAGGAAAAGCTCCAAGCCAGATTACTTTTGATTGTGTCAGTGTATTAGTTGCTACATAGCTTCTGCTATAATAACAAAGGGCTCCCATAGTGGCTCAGATGTTAAAGAATCTGCCTGCAATATGGGAGATCTGGGTTTAATCCCTAGGTTGGGAAGAACCCCCAGAGGAGGGCATGGCAACCCATTCCAGGATACTTGCCTGGAGAATCCTATGGACAGAGGAACCTGGTGGGCTATAGTCCGTGGGGTTGCAAAGAGTTGGACACAGCTGAGTGACTAACACACATGATAACACAGACCCAAATGTAACAGTGTCTGAAATGAAATTGACAATTATTTTTCCTTCATGTTAATTGTCCAGATGTGAGCTGCCAAGAGTTAGTATGGCAGCTGCTTGGTATCACAAACCTTAACTCCTTCTATGTTCCTGTCCTGTCATCCTCAGTATGCAGCTTCCTTACGACAGTCTAAGATGGCTAGTCCAGGTTCTGCCATCAATCTTGCATCACAGTAAATGGGAAGAAAACAGGGGCTAAAAGTGAGTACATGCATACCATTTGCAGGCATGATTTAGAAGTGAAACACGTCATTTCCACTAACATTCTGTGGGTCAAAACTTAATCACATGGTCTTACTTAGATGCAGGGGAGGCTGGAAAATGTGGTTCTTGGTTGGGCTGCCGTTTGCTTAGCTAAAACTGAAAGGATCCTAAGACTGAAGGAAGGAAAGAATATTTAATAGTATAACCAGCAGTAAGTGAAATTAATGTATTTTGAAGCCTAGCAATCCTCAGGAATCTACAATAGGAATGAGAACCAGGAATTCCTCACATAGGCTGCATGCATGGATGGAAATAAGGATCCAGTGCATAGGAAAAATTTTTCAAGAACTGAAGGACCTAGGTGTGATGAAAGCCTATGGAAGATAGGAAAAGCTCCAAGCCAGATTACTTTTGATTGTGTCAGTGTATTAGTTGCTACATAGCTTCTGCTATAATAACAAAGGGCTCCCATAGTGGCTCAGATGTTAAAGAATCTGCCTGCAATATGGGAGATCTGGGTTTAATCCCTAGGTTGGGAAGAACCCCCAGAGGAGGGCATGGCAACCCATTCCAGGATACTTGCCTGGAGAATCCTATGGACAGAGGAACCTGGTGGGCTATAGTCCGTGGGGTTGCAAAGAGTTGGACACAGCTGAGTGACTAACACACATGATAACACAGACCCAAATGTAACAGTGTCTGAAATGAAATTGACAATTATTTTTCCTTCATGTTAATTGTCCAGATGTGAGCTGCCAAGAGTTAGTATGGCAGCTGCTTGGTATCACAAACCTTAACTCCTTCTATGTTCCTGTCCTGTCATCCTCAGTATGCAGCTTCCTTACGACAGTCTAAGATGGCTAGTCCAGGTTCTGCCATCAATCTTGCATCACAGTAAATGGGAAGAAAACAGGGGCTAAAAGTGAGTACATGCATACCATTTGCAGGCATGATTTAGAAGTGAAACACGTCATTTCCACTAACATTCTGTGGGTCAAAACTTAATCACATGGTCTTACTTAGATGCAGGGGAGGCTGGAAAATGTGGTTCTTGGTTGGGCTGCCGTTTGCTTAGCTAAAACTGAAAGGATCCTAAGACTGAAGGAAGGAAAGAATATTTAATAGTATAACCAGCAGTAAGTGAAATTAATCGAAGTGGGATGGAGAGAAATGTATTTGCTTCATCTATTGATCACTTGCTACAACAGAGGTACTTCCAAACTGTTCAATTTAAAAAATGCTTCTCTTTAAGCTTCTTTGTGTCCTATGTATCTTCCTGTCCATCTTCTGTTCTTTTAATTTCATTGTTCCTTTCATCTCTAATCCTGGCTCTCTTGAGGAGCTAACACACCAAACAGAATTGGAACACAGACAAAGGTTAGTTCATTCATTTAGTACATTTTTGTTCAGTGCCCACCATATACGAAGCACGGTTCTAGGAGCTTGGACACATCAATGAACAAAACAAATGTCCTGCCTTGTGTAGCTCCCATTCTGATAGGGCGCAGGGAATACAGAAAAGAAGAAACTTTAGTTTCCATGGAAACAAAGCTACTTGTATCTCAGACAAGACTATAAACTCCTAGAAGCTCGGATATACATCCCCTGGTCTATAGCCTTGTAAAGATGGTACACCCCTCATGTCTGCTGTCTAGACATTTGCATAAAGATTCTTAACAATGTAAATAAACATCTCTCTATAGTCCCTTGGATCAAATTTTCTTTGAGAAAAAAAATTGGCAAGCTTTATTCATTTTTTTTTCACAATCAACTGGGTCCATGTTTACTGTAGGACTCTTTTTTTTTTTTGGTGTATTAGAAACTTAAGTAGGTTAGGCAAAAATAGGGGGTGGCAGTGATAATTTTTTAAAAGGATTCTGGGATATCTTATGCATTAAAGGCAACTGAATGATCTTATGGGCAAACGGAACTAAAAATTCAAATGCAACCAGTACTTTTTCTGTCGTACCTCTCTCGCTGTGAGCTCATTTTTTTTCTCTGAAGATTGGCTTTCTCTATGGGGTAAGAAATGCTACACCTCCAAATTTGAAACCCCATGCTCTCAGACAAGAGAACATGGGATTCTTTGCCACACTCCAGTGTGAAAACTCCGAAGCAGCACTCCAGCTGGCCTGTCTTGGGTCAGATGTCTAACGCTATATCACTAATCCATGGCTAAATAGCCAGGGTAACAGAAAAGACATGATCCTAGAAACTCGATCGGATCTGTGGTTACCAGAGGTGAGGATGAGGGAGGGGGAATCGGATGGAGGTGGTCAGAAGGTACAAAATTCCACTTGTAAGATACACAAGTTCTAGGGATGTGATGTACAATGTGGTTAATATAATTATCACTGCTGGATGTTAAATATAAAAGTTGTCAAGAAAGTAAATCCCAAGAGTTCTCATCGCAGGAATTTGTATCTGTTTGAGATGATGGATGTTCACTAAATTTACTGTGATTATAATTTCATGATGTATGTAAACCAAATCATTGCGCTAAACACTTTAAACTTACACAATGCTGTGTGTCAGTTAGGGGCATCCCTGGTGGCTCAGTGGGTAAAGAACCCGCCTGCCAATGCAGGAGACTTGGGTTTGATCCCTGGGTCAGGAAGGCCCCCTGGAGAAAGAAATGGCAACGCACTCCAGTATTCCTGCCTGGGAGATTCCATGGACAGAAGAATCTGGCAGGGTACTGTCCATGGGTCCGCAAAAGAGTCAGACATGACTTAGCGACTAAACGAAAACAACATATGTCAGTTATATCTCAGTAAAACTGGAAAAAATAAATACGAAATAGAAAAGAAAATATGTGATCCACTTCCTGGTTATGCCAACTCAGTTTTGGCATAGAAGCCAACTGATGGATTGTCATAAGATATGAGAGTATCTTATCAGTCACTTTTCCAAGAAATGGACCCCAAGACTGAGCAGATGAAGAGCAGAATTATTTTGAAAAAGTAAAACAGTTCCATCTGCCACAGCCAGATTCCAGCTCTTGCTGTTTTGAGAGAATGGCATGTTAGCTAAGCAAAAATTCACAATCAGAAGTATGTGTTAGTTAGCCTCAGTGTATACATCTTTCGAGTGTGTATGAGCCTATAGCAAATGAGTGTTCAGGAAGCTCTGCAATATCCTCAGCTCAGTTCAGTTCAGTTCAGTCTCTCAGGCGTGTCTGACTCTTTGCAACCCCGTGAACCGCAGCACACCAGGCCTCCCTGTCCATCACCAACTCCCGGAGTCCACCCAAACCCATGTCCATTGAGTCGGTGATGCCGTCCAGCCATCTCATCCTCTGTCGTCCCCTTCTCCTCCTGCCCCCAATCCCTCCCAGCATCAGGGTCTTTTCCAGTGAGTCAACTCTTCGCATGAGGTGGCCAAAGTATTGGAGTTTCAGCTTCAGCATCAGTCCTTCCAATGAACACCCAGGACTGATCTCCTTCAGGATGGACTGGTTGGATCTCCTTGCAGTCCAAGGGACTCTCAATAGTCTTCTCCAGCACCACAGTTCAAAAGCATCAATTCTTTGGCACTCGGCTTTCTTCACAGTCCAACTCTCACATCCATACATGACCACTGGAAAAACCATAGCCTTGACTAGATGGACCTTTGTTGGCAAAGTAATGTCTCTGCTTTTTAATATGCTATCTAGGTTGGTCATAACTTTCCTTCCAAGGAGTAAGTGTCTTTGAATTTTATCACTGCAATCACCATCTGCAGTGATTTTGGAGCCCCCAAAAATAAAGTCTGACACTGTTTCTACTGTTTCCCCATCTACTTGCCTTGAAGTGATGGGACCAGGTGCCATGATCTTAGTTTTATGAGTGTTGAGCTTTAAGCCAACTTTTCACTCTCCTCTTTCACTTTCATCAAGAGGCTTTGTAGTTCCTTTTCACTTTCTGCTATAAGGGTGGTGTCATCTGCACATCTGAGGTTATCGATATTTCTCCCGGCATTCCTGATTTCAGCTTGTGCTTCTTCCAGCCCAGCATCTCACAATGTCCTCAGTTATCTTTAAAACATAAAACTGAAACCTTAATGTAAAAAGTATTCTGCAAGCAATGAAACTTCTTATTTAAAAATGTCAAGGTCCCAGGAAAACAGCTCCAAGTTTTTAATTTTGTTTTCCATTTGATGGTGATGTGCATTATAATTTTTCTTCCCCAAATGAAAATGTTTTGGATCGTAATGCTTCTTCCTTATTTTATGACTCATCATGGAGTGACATCAGCGTTAGCTTTTATTATCTTTCCAGCCAAGGATTTGTGTAGCTTGACTAACATTTGAAATGTTAGGGCAGGGGCTCTGTTTTTCTGAGCTTTGTTAAAGTCCTTGATATAGTGACAGTGTGTGGGCATCCAGAAATCTTTTAATTATATATACAAGAAATGAAACCTAGTATCCAGCCTCCTACTGCATACAAAATGTCCAGCTTTGACTTCCACATTCAAAGCAATTGTAGAGTTGAAGCTCTTTTCCCTTGCAATCTCTCTGCTTTCTTCCTGGGTCAAACGCAGTGCACCTGTCCACAGATCAAAACCTGTTTGTTTGGTGACCACCTTCTCTTTTTCAGCTGTCTTAAGTGGCTTAATTTGTTAGTCAATGCCATGTTTAGGGGGTGGCTCAGTGATAAAAAATTCTCTTGCAGTGCAGAAGGTGCACAGGAGATGGGGGTTTCAATCCCTGGGTCGGGAAGGTCCCCTGGAGAAGAGTTGTCTATTTTTATACCTGGACTAGACTCTACTTCCGCAATCACATCCTCTATAGACTTGTTTCCCCTCCTTCCTCCTGCTTCCTCTTTCTCGCTGTTATTTATAAATGCCGTATGCTTGATTCCAGAGAAAACAACTGCTGCTGAAACTGCCAGCTGAACTTTCAGGCGCCCTTGCGTTTTGTCTGATTGTGTTAGATTATAGTTGATTTACAGTGAGTGTTGGTTTCAGGTGTACAGAAAAGTGATTCAGTTATACATGGATATATATTCTTTTTCAGATTCTTTTCTCTTATAGGCTAGCACAAAATAATGAGTAGAGTTCCTTGTGCTATACACTAGGTCCTTGTTGGTTATCTGTCTCATACACAGTAGTGTGTGTGTGTGTGTGTGTGTGTGTGTGTGTGTGTTCATCCCAAGCTCCTAATTTCTCTCTCTCCCCACCACGTGCTTTTTAAGCGTTCACAGACATTTGTATTCATCTCTTTTTAGTCATTATCTCTGGATGAGAAGACCAACAGCAGGAAGGTAGTGACTCAAACCCAGAACCCAGAAAACAAACACCCACTCCTGACTCACAGGCTGGAAACGGGGAGATTCTGAGACTTTCCTTTGCTTAAAAATGCATATGCAAACAGCGCTTCCCATTCCCATCTCCTGAAGGCCAAGCTGGCTCTTCCTGCTGACGCGGGAGGGAGTCAGGAATGTGTCACCGACTCTGACACGGAGTTTACTGGGTCAGGAGATGGAGGGCGACTGGGACTCGTATTTCTTTCCTTTTTTCCAAATGCCTGTTGGAGAAAACCTGATGTGTCCTGTGTGAGTCAGTCGTGAGTGTTTCTGCTTCTGGGTAAGGGTGTTGAGTCACGCCCTCCCTGCTGGTTTTAATTGTGGTTTTAATTAGCAGGCTCGTCCTCTGATCAGAGGTGTGGCCTTTCATCAGAAGGAGAGTTTTCTGGCTGTGTGGTCCTTGGTTGGCCACTTGGATCTTATAATCACAAAATAGTTGTTTCTCTTTAGTACTTTTCAGAAGTTCAAAGGATTTTACTGAACTTTAACTCTTGGGGCTTTTGGTTTATATTCAGATGTAAAAATGAGTGAAGATGGGGAGCTTTTGTGGCAAAGTGCTTTGAAACCCTGAGATGAAAGAGGACCCCTAAAGAAAAATTATCCTCATTTATTTTTCAGCAGAATTTTCCATGCATGTGTGGACAAATGTAATTTGAGGCAACTTGAATTAACAGCCTCTTCTTCCCTCCGTTACCCTCCGTGACTCCAGCTAAACCAAAGAACCTCTTTTGCTTCTCACTTCTGTTTTCCAGGCCAAGGCCTGTCTGAGGGAAGGATAGTTTAGGCTTACAATTAACCCTGGGCCCTAACTCCTCTGTGGCTAGGCCTCCCCAGGAGGAGGGCCCCACATACAGTACAGGAAGGGCTGTGTGGTGGGGGCCCCAGCTTGGATTTGCTTGTGTATCTGTTGCAGGAAAGGGAACCCTTTCCAGGGCCAGAGAACGAGCTCTTGTCTGACACTCAGAAATGAATTGTGCAAGGAGACACACGTCCTGGCAAAGCAAGAGGCCTTGTTGGCAAGGGGGTGGAGAACATCAGGGTAAGGGAACCCAGGAGAACTGCTCTGCCAAGGCTCAGGTTTGATGTTAATGCCATTAGCTTTCAGAGTTGTCTCTGGTCAGTCATCTTGCTTGGCCCATATTTAGTCTGACACAGCATCCTTTTTGGTGGTGCCAGCATCTCTCAATCAAGCTGGATTCCAGTATGAAGGCTTCTGGGACGTTGGTAGGACGTATTATGGGCTAGCTTCTCCTCCCTCTTTTGACCCCTCCCACATTCTCCTGGTTAGTTTTCGGCAGCGGCACCACGTTCCTTATCACGACCTCTTATTGCGAGACCACTCGGGCCAGTGGTTATCACCATGCCTGATGGTTTTGGTCGGTGGTTTCCTGGCACACTGTTTGTGATCTCCGTTGGATTCCTGAATCCAAGGGCACAGCTGGCAGAGCGCTCTTCAGCTCTTTGGGGGCAAGGCTAGTATTAGCTGAAGTGCACTGGTATCACCATTCATATTGCTAGAACAGTGCAATAGGCCTATGCTGATTTGAAAATACAGTTGGTCTTTGAACAACACCGCACTGGTCCACTTACGCTTGAATTTTTTTCACCGTTAAATACCACGGGACTACATGGTCTGTCATTGGTTCAATCAGAGGACATAAATCTGAGGATATAATTGGAAGGCGGTTGTAAAGTTATAAATGGATTTTTGACTGTTGTGAAGGTTAGGGCCCCCTCTCCCCATGTTATTCAAGGTCAGCTGTAGTCATTTTCTGCAGCTCCCATTGTGAAATGTTTTGAATTTCACTCCTGCTCTGTGAGCTAGGAGGGTGTCTTCCTTCTTAGCTTCATACAGTGCTTAGCATAGCATCTTGCTTTCTATGTGAAATGCAGACACACTAATTGATTGGGAGGAGAATGGAAGACTTCAGTTGCTTTTTCAGGCCATCAGGGTAGTGGAGGACCAGTATGGAGTTTCCCTACTAACTGTATTTGAGTGTTTCTAGAAGATTTAGAACTCACATTCTCCTGTCCATTCTCTTGGGCTGTGAGCTGAGGGAGGGCAGGCCAAACAGCAATGCCTGGATAGGAAACAGATGTCCTCCAGTCATGGAGAGATGACCCAAAGCCTGCCATCCTCTGGAAGGTTCTGCTGGAGGCAAGAGTTAATGCTGGAATCCCCCACCCCTGAATTCCTGTGTTAAAGCCCTAATGCAGGACTTGTCTGGTGATCCAGTGGGTAAGAATCTGCCTATCAGTGGGGACATGGGCTAGATTTCTGGTCTAGGAAGTTTCCACGTGCCTTGGGGCAACTAAGCCCGTGTGCCACGACTACTGAGCCCGTGCCCTAGAGGCCATAAGCCACAACTACTGAAGCCTGCACCCTGCAGCGAGGAGGAGCCCCGACTCCCCACAGCTAGAGAAGGCCCAGGCATAGCAGTGAAGACCCAGAGCAGCCCAAAGTAAAGACTGAATGAATAAATAAAACGGAAAAATAGAGAAAATAAAGCCCTAATTCACAATGCGATCGTGAGGTTATAAGAGGGTGGCCTTCCTGGTGAGATTAGTGTGCTTCTAGGAGGACCCCCGGCAGACTTCTCTCTCCCCTCCCTGCTCTCTGCCTCTCTGAACCTCTGTCTCACCCTCTTGTCCCCCTTCCCCCTCCCCTACTTGCACACAAAGAAAATGTCTTGTGAGGACATAGCAGGAAGGCAGCCTTCTGTAAGCTAAGAGCTCTCACCAGAACCCAAGTGCGTTGGCACCCTCACCTCAGACTTCCAGCTTCTAGATCTATGGAAAAGTGCATTTCTGTTGTTTGTGCCACCAGGCTATGGTATGTTTGTTATGACAGCCTGAACTGACCTTGACACTGGTCTATTCCCCACTCCCTGGATTTTCATGAGAGACCCCAGCCCCATATGCATAGACGTTGAAATGGGGGAGGCCAGAGTGCCTGAGCCTAGCTCGTGAAAGCTGCCTGTGTGCACAAAGTCGCTTCAATCGTGTGACCCTTTGGACTGCAGCCCACCAGGCTGCTCTGTCCGTGGGATTCTCCAGGCAAGAATACTAGAGTGGGTTGCCTTGCCCTCTTCATCCAGTGAAGGCTAGTGGCCTAGAAACAGAAAACTGGTCTACTTCCCCAGATACTAGGACTAAAGGGGAAGGGATGGAACCTGCCCGTCATTGTCTCAGGTTTTGATCAATCATAACTCCTATCCTCATGAGTGAGAATGAGGGTGGAAAGAATGGAAGATGCCCTAGGATTACGCAGAAGACACATTCATACAACTGTACCAAAGGAAGTGGGTTGGGCTAGAAGTACCATTTGCATTTGGCATGGAGGGTGGGGATACCCACCTTCTTTCTTCATTGGGTGTGCATCTCCACCTCTCCTGGGCTCTGATGAAATTTGGGAATGGCAACTGCAAGCCCAGTCTCATGCACTCACCCCTTAGGGCTGTGGTTCTTCACATCACTGCACATTGGAATCGCTTGAGGCACCTGGGAGAAGATTCTGATTTAGTTGGTCTAGGATGTGGTGGGCATTAGGATTTTTCAAAGCTCCCCAGATGAATCTAGTGTACAGTCAAGGTTGAGAGCAGCTCCAGGTGAACTCTGAGTGAGCCCCTGATCCATTTCACAGGCCTATCTCAGTAACTTGTTTCAGGATTCTGACCTATTTCATCTCTCCCTCTGGGCCAAGTAAATGGCATGTAAGGTCTTTGCTCAGATTGCTTTATTGATTTGTGTTCAACAGACTTGCTGGACAAATAACAAATTGTTCCCTTCCTGTGCCTAAGTTACTACCCAATGAAGTCCACATAACTTCAAAAGATGTGATTTTATCATACATTCTTGGACAATGTGCTCCTAGATTCTATTTTCTGGATCACTTCCTTCTTCCTGTGTGAAAGGACTACAGCAAACACCTAACTTTCCTATCTTATTTAAAAGCTAATATATTTATCAGCTGTTTATTACAAGCCGGGTACTCTGGCAGATGATTTTGAGCACAGTATGTCATTCAATCTTCTTTCTTGATGTTTTAATTTTTTGGTTTTTATTTCTTCATTTAAATTAATTAATTAACTTCATTGCATCAGGTCTTAGTTGCAGCATGTGGAAACTTCACTGTGGCTTGCAAGCTCAGTAGCTGTGGCATGAGGGCTTAGTTTCCCCTCAGTATGAGGGATCCTAGTTCCCTGACCAGGGGTTGAACCCACAACCCCTGCATTGCAAGATGGATTCTTAACCACTGGACCACTAAGGAAGTCTCTTTGTGTTTTAATTTTTATGAAACTTGTATGTGAACATTGTTTTAAAAGTTAAGTTTCCTATGAAAATAGCAATCCTGCTCTTTTATCCCTTCTCCAGTCCCCACCCCCTCAAAGGCAATTATATTTCAGCTGCTCTAATATTTTCCACTATATGTTCAGGTAACAGGCTTACCCTGCTGTTATTTGATTTTCCCCTTCCAGTTTTAATCTGTTTATTTTTAAATATGAAAGATGAGGAGTTAATTCTCTCACTCTGCCTCTTCAACAATCACAAATACTTCCTCTCTGGCCTCCAATGAAGACATAGACTTTGGTAAATTTGATCAACACTCAGTTAATTATGCAATATTACCCACAGCTGAGCCATGTCGTATACTGCCTAGATTTTCTTGGTTGAATAACTTCTTGCTTCATCTGAATTTAATCATTATCTCCCTTTTTTTATTGTCTTAGTTTTCTGTGTAAGATATTAATTTATCTTCAAACTCTCTTCTAGAAGAATATATTTATGACTATGTTCAATTGTATCAGGTAATCCATCAAATTCAATGTCACCTTTTAAAAAAAATTGTTTATTTATTTTTGGCAGTGTTGGGTCTTAGTTGTGGCACATGGAGTCTGGGATCTTTCACTGCAACCTGAGGGCTTCTCTCTGGTTGTAATGAGAAGGCTTAGTTGCCCTGAAGCATGTGGAATCTTAGTTCCCTGACTAGGGATTGAACCCTCATCCCCTGCATTGGACGATGGATTCTTAATTGCTGGACCACCGAGGAATTCCCCAATATCACCTTTCTTTTTAGGATGATCACTGGTGATGCCCTGTTGATGTTGCTCCCATCTGGACTTGCTGAGCACTAGACTTGAGAGGTGGTGACTGAGGACTTCCTTCATCAGCATCTTGGGGATTACCTTTCTCTCTCCTGGGTGGGGGCTCTGGTTTCTTAAAACTCATCTACTCATATTTCTTGGTTTACTGCCTTATTTTACTGCAGTATGTCCTCCACTAGCTTCCCTAGGAAAGTAATATGGGAGGAAAATCATTTGAGGATTTGCACATTCTAGCTTTACAGTTGATTCAGAGTTTGCCTAGCTATAGAATTCTTGATTGGAAATTATTATCTTTCAGAATTTTGAAGACATTTGTTCATTATTTTCTAGGTTCTAGGGTTCTATTTAAAAATCCACAGCCATTCTGAAAATGAATCCCTTTGCATGCTCCTTATTTTTACATTCTGATCGATTTTAGTGTCTTCTTTTTGTGCTCATTATTATGAAATTTCACAACAATATGCCTTGGCATGAAGTTTGTTTTCTTTTATTGTCTTGGCTTTTATCAGAATCTCTCAATCTGGAAATTAGTGTCCTTTAGTTCTAGGATATCTTTTCAAATTATTCTTTGACAATTTCTTCTCCTCTTTTTTCCATGTTCTCTCTTTATGATACTCATTAATTAGTTGTTGGGTGTTCATGAGGTATCCTGTCTTTAATATGTTTTTTATGTTCTATCTTCCTTCTCTGTATTTTAGTTCTAATTTCTTTAGTTCTAATTTCTGGGAGTTTTCCTTAATTTTATCTTTCAATTCTTCTATTGAGGTTTTAATTTCCACTATAATGTTATTACTTTTTCAAAGCCTCTTTTTATTCTATTTGCTTTATCCCCTAAATAGCATTTCATTTATGTTTCAATATGTCAGCAAATTTGGAAAACTCAGCAGTGGCCACAGGACTGGAAAAGGTCAGTTTTCATTCCAATC